CAATCTAAGCTAGGCTCTCCTTTTATTCGTCTTGCTTCCTTGTGCTCATTCTACAGGCCGCTATTGTTAAAATATATTTAAAAGAAACTTGTTACACTTCCGTGGTTCGGGCCAAGATATACCCTATTGAAAACGATTTGGATCGGACCACTTTTTCGACCATTCCCTTTCTTATTGAGAAAAATCGTTCGAGGAATAAATCTGTTAGGTCATGTTCTTAATTGTTTTTTTTTTTTTTTTGATATTCTTATTCGAATTATAAATTGAGGAAAGGAAACGAGTATGGCTGTGGAAATGAACATCACGTGGCCTCAAAATCTCAAGTTCATTATTAAAAATGATGTTATCTTCTTCGTTTTTAGATGTAAGTAGCTTTGCTTAAAGGATAACATTATTTGTATGAAACGGGCGCAAGGGATAAATGATGACAAAACAACAGCAATTTCGGATATTAGAGATGTTCACTTTCTCAACAAATATAATGATGATAAATAAAAACTTTCTTCTTTTGAAAATATTTGACAAACCTATCACAATATAATTACGTTATACTTATAGTTTGCTATCAATTAACAAACTTGTATTATGTCAAACGAAAATTTGTTGCTCGCTGGCAAATCCTAAAGTAACAAATGCCTCGATACTAACAAATGAGGCGAAGACAACGCTCGCACACTTGCTTAGTGTTCTCCTATATATTATGTTATTATATATATTTGCAAGGAAAGTTATAGAAACCTATAGGTTTAAAATTAAAATAGCATGCAAAACTTTGGCTTGTAAGTGAATTTTGATTCTATTCTTTTGTAATGGAAACTGTTTTGATTCCATATTCTCAATCAAGTAAGTTTCCCTGGTAGTTTCTTTGCGAGAGAGAGAAATGCTAACTTATTGCGTACGCTTAACAAATATGATATTGCAAAGTATGCATTAAAGGCTTTTGAGGCATCTGAGAAAAAAAAAAATTAAAATTTTTGGAATCACTTGGGACGATCATGTTTACATCTATTTGCTCATCGGTCGTTTCTTAAAGATGCCCATAAAATTGCATATATAAACACATGTGTTATTGTTCCCCTTAACTTTTATCGAATAGTTTTACTTTACCATCTCGTGTACGAATAACTTTCTTGTTAGTATGGTTGCGGTATACTATACTAAATATTTATATAAACAACTTTGGCACATAGTACAACCGTTTGTAATATAGTTCACATTTTAACCTTTTTATTAATTTTAAGAAAAAGAGAAAGAGCTACGTGTGTGTAAAATTAAATGGAGACGAAGAAATAAAGTTTCTTATCCTTTCTATTCGTTAAATAAATTTCCTTTTTGTTTTTGTATCAAGCGCGGAGTGCATGTGAGACTTTAGCAGAGGTTTGTTACATTCACGAACTACGTGCGCTCGACATCCAATCAAGAATATGCAATCTATTTAGTTTTCTCTTTGTATCTGCCCGCTCGCATACAAATTATGATTACATTCTCAAGACATTGGTCAATGTTAAATGCACATAAAGTCTGTTCAATTTTATCTTGACTAATAGGACTTTTCAGTGATTAACAAAACGTCGCGTTATCTTTGTAGGTTGACTGTCTGAGAATACGATTTGAAAATTTCGTCCAGTGTAATGAATATGATTTTTAGTGTTTTTTGACCGAAAACTAGTTAAAAACTTCTTCAAGCGTCTTAATCGTAATCGTTAAATTAAAGCAAAGTTTAACTAAAGGATTTTTGCTATGCACTATAGTGCATAAAATCCTGTCAAGTCAGAACTAGGTTTTTTTTTTTTTAACGGTGCTTTAAATACCGTATATTACTGAAACATGAGCTTACATGAGCATATGTCGTTTGTTAATATAATCTCGTAATGTAGGACATTCCAGGTTAGAACTATAAAATATCTCCCAAGTGAACCATGCTACATTGGGGTCAAATTTTTACATAACGGAAACTCATGACATCGCGTTGTTTGGCATATCACGCCTATTTCGTTTCAATTATTATTCGTAGCACTCCTTAGAAATGCTCATATTCGGTTTGGATGGACAATAATACACAGAAATGGGGCCGTTATCGATATTTAACTTCGTCGTCGTTCGCCGAGTCTGCAAAAACATTTTATGGATTTTCAACATGGTGACGCATCCACGGTTCATCACTCGCTGAGATTTAATAAATCTATCAGCAAAAGTAAAGGGCTTTTTTTTTTTTTTGTAGAGAAGTACGTCGAATCAAAGGTCCAAGCATCCACGTTGTGTATGCTTTCATTTTTTAATTCTTTAATGGTTAGGTTATACGGTTGCGTATACCTTGAAGACAGCACGTTTAAATGGGGTGGTCAGGGTCAGGGTTTTATTCAGCACTCCGTAGTAGTATTTAAACTTTCTCATACAAAACTGACCGAACTAGTTGGTACTCCCGATATATCGTCTATATATCTATATAAACATTTCATGATTTTTTGCTGCAATTGATTTAGGATTTTTATCGTTTTAAGGGCTACTAGTAGTGGGTATCGATAAATTTGCTATCTAAGATAGATATATATTTTGTGCGCGTGTTTTTTTAATAACATTTTGCAGATAAAAAATACAATTTAATTAACTTGGCTAATAGTTCGCGTAGGAATAAACAACATCGTTCAAAGTCGCACACAAACATACACACAGTGAAGAGAGTTCTTGGCAGCAGCTACTTCAAAGCTTTCTTAATCAGTTTTCTTAAAGGCAAGTACTTCTTTCTTCTCTTGCCTTTTTTTTTTTTTTTGCTTTTAACCTCAAAAGAATAAAAGGTATCAATAGTGTTTTTTTTTTTTTTTTGGGGGGGTTACTGAAGCATGTTTTTTCGTTTTTTTTTTTTTTTTTATTGCAGATGTTTTGAAAAAATTGCAAAAATTAAGTTTTGGCTGAAAAGTATGCTTTAATTTTATTACCTTGATTCATATGATTTTTTCAACTGTTCATTAAAATGAAAAAAAGAAAAAACAAAACAAAACACAAAAGTAATTTTTTCACAATTTCAAACAACATTTTATTATGTATTTTTGCTTTCGTTTTTGTTTTTTTGCTTTAATTAAAAAATCCAAATAGTGTATGCGTAGAGTAGCCTGTTTTCCGTACAAATATACATAAGTGTGTTTGTATGTGTATGTTTGTTGTCTCTCGTCTGCATATATATATATATATATATATATATGTATATATATAGAGTGGTAGCATTTTTGTTTGCGCCAATATTTTTCTGTTGGCTTTACATGTTTTTATTTCAGTTTTTCTTTATTTTCTTTATTTTTTTTTAAGTCGTATTTTTTCAAGAGGCCTGTGTGACTGTATGTAGACAACGCTACTCAATGGTTAGGTATGTGTGCGTGCTTGCTTGCCTTTTTCATGTGGTACAGACAAAGTGTTTTCAATACAAATGTTTGTATGGGTATATGAATGAATGAATGAACAAATGAATGAATGAATTAAGTTTTTCTCAATATTTTTCAATTTTTTTTTCCCCTTTTTTATATTTTATTTTTAATTAAATATAAAACTAACTGAGAAAAAGTTTCTGACTGATATACAAATGGTACTTACTATGTGTATATCTATGCTAGTGTGTGTGTGTGTGTGTGTGTGCATGTATATATGCATATTGGTAAATAAAAAATGAAAATGAAAAGAGACTAACAACTACAAGTGTGCATGCATATGCGAATAAGTATTTGCGTATTTTAAAAATGCTCTGTCTATATGTATATACGTATATATGAATATGATAACAAAAAGCATGCGGTAGCTGTATTGGCCAAAATTACTAGTATTTGTTTACGATTTGCATTAAATTGCTAAATGTATGCTTTTATAACTATTTTTTTTTTTCTTTGCTATTTGCTCTGGCTCTCTCTCTCTCTCTCTCACTCTCTCGCTCTCGATCTTTCTTCCTATGAGAGATATATTTGGTTAGTAGGCTTTAAGCAGCCGTATTTATTGTGTGTATATATGTGCGTATGCGTTTGTGTGTGTGTGTGTGTGTGTGTGTGTGTGTTTGTGTGTGTGTGTGTGTGTGTGTGTATGGTTGTGTATGTTTTTATGATGTTCCATAAGTTATGTGCATAAATTTGCATCAATATATGCAAATGAGTTTTTCGAAAAAAAAAAATTATACACAAAAACGCAAACACACGTTTGCATATGAAATGTTTGTGTGTGTACACGCCTGCATAAACATGTAACGAGGGTAAAAAGAGTGTTTTGTAGGTATAAAACATGTGTAAAGTTGTAAATTATTTAAAATATGTTGAAACAAATAAACCGAAAGGATTTAAGGCGATAATTGAAAAGGTATTTTGTGGTGAAGGCCGCCAATAGATACGCTTCAAAGGATGGCAAAGATTTCAAGTTTTGGTAAACCGTAAAAAGAGTTTTTCTCTTTTCTCTCGTTCTTCTTTTCTCTTACTCGGAATAGAAAACTCTTGCACTTTAATAATTTACTTCTTTTTGTTTTTTTTTTTAGAAATCTAATAAGATAAATATTTATTAGGTAAAAAGTATACGTATATTTGTGCTTTGCACATATCTATGCATTTATAATCTGAATTAAACAAAAAAAAAAAAAAAAAAAAATGTGGCTTTTCGTGTAAACGGAAATAAATCTATAAAAACTAACTGAAAATCACGTAAAAAATTGCCATCAAGAGCCAATGGCAAATAAAAAAATTGTTTATAGTGTTTTTCGCCTAAAGATTAATGATCGGCAAATGCTGGGTGAACAGTTTGCCAAAACTGGCAATAGTCGAACATGAAAAACAAATTGCATGAACTACAAGCTTTTGGCATGTTGACTTTAATATTATTCAATAGTAATGTTTCGTTGACTTTTATTTTGTTTTTTTTTTTCTTCCGTGACTGCCAAAAAATTTGTTTGGTATTGGAATAATTTAATAAAAAAAAAAAAAATAGGGGGAAAAAAATAAATAAAAGAAATGAAATTAGGAATGCATTTTACTTACTTAAATTATCGCTGGGAATGTATACGTTGCCTGATGGTGTACGCACCAAACAAGAGGGCTCAAAATCCACACCCAAATCATTTGGATTTGCCGCCACTAGACGACCATTATTCATACGATTCATTGTTGGATTTCTAGGTGGTACATCCGGTGGTGCAGTTGGCGTAACTCCTTCGAGAAGGAAGCCTAAAATTAGACATATGTACATATAAAGTAGACATAGAGACATCGCAAAAAAATAAAAAGATTAGCATTTTTTGTCTTCTTTATTATCGATGTGTGTATATTCTTTGGAAGATGCGCTATTTATGCATTGTATATGAATAGATTATGACAAATATTATAATATATATCCTTTTTAATGGTTATCTTCTGCCCTCTTTCATAGAAATTATGATTTTTTCAACTAACTAATTGAATTGGTTCTTGAGAGGGTAAACAGATCTTGCTAGTATACTTCTGAATCGAGAACAAATGATAGTTGGAAGGTATAAAATTCGAATTGTAGAGAGAGAGAAATAGAGAGAGAAAGAAAGAGAGAGAGATAGATAGAGAGAGAAAGAAAGAGAAAGAGAGAGAGAGAGAGAGAGAGAGAGAGAGAGAGAGAGAGAGGGTGGCAACAACTATTCCATCATGTTTAATCAAATGTCTCGAAACTGCTCATTTTCCAAGAATTTCATTTTGTTAACCTTTTGTGACTGGCGACGACAGGGGAGAGAAAGAAGCCCTTTTGGAAGTCAAAGCAAATTACTTCCACTGCAAAATTAGATTTCAGTATTCTGAGAACTTAAATCGTTTTAAACTGCCTTCTGAACTGTACTGCAGGACAGACATGTATATCAAGAAAATGTACATTTTGTTAAGTTACATGATATTATATCGTGTAGTGGTGCTGCAAAGCTATTTAGCATTGTGTAGTATACTTATACCTGAAAACTATGCTTTTGTACATTTCCACCCAAATTATTTACCAATAATTTGTGTTTTTCTTACGGCCATAATTACGAAATAAGAAAATGTTTGCAAAAAATTTAATATTAGCTTGAAACTGACGTTAGATGTTAATTTTAGTTAAAAACTTTTTCATTTTGTATACTTTATGTGCCGATGAATGCAGAACCTTTGCGTTTAGACAAAATTACTCTCAACTACGTTTCATTTATTTAATTCGCACTGGCATTTGTGAGCTAGATACGAAGGAGGAAGAGAACGGATGAGACACCAAATTTTTTACTTATAACATTTCGAAAAAGAGACACACAAGAAAGATACATGAAAGCAGACGGACGGATAGACCAGCTTAAATCGATCGGCACAATAAGAGATGGGTCTATCTCGAGTCCTTCTAGCTGTTGCATTGCGTTTGTACAAATTTAATATACCCTTTTATCATAGTAGTGGTGTAGCGTACAAAAATTCATTACCAAGTTCAGCAAAGTAAACACGTTAATTAAAAGAAAAATCGCCCAAAGTTCATGCTATGATTTTGTAAAATACACTAAGGCAAAATACAATTTACGAATGCAAAAAAAAAAAAAAAAAAAAAAACTTAATAGAAAAGCGCAAACTGAATTTATTTAACCAAAAATAGATTCCCCTATAGTGATGCATCAAATTTCCATTCCTTGCGTAGTAATGATCAATATTGAGGAAAATTCAGCAAAACCAAATATAAACAAAAAAATAAATAAATTTTTTGGGTAGAAATTCAAAACTTTTACGACACATAATAAGTATTTTATTTCAAATTTCGAAAAATAATTATTATACAATTATCAACAATATTATGAACACTTTACCAAAAAAAAAAATAAAAAAACGCCTTTAGCATAGATTAGTGAACTGTATGTGAAGAGGGTGTTGTTTTGGTTTTTAATGCGAAAACATTATCCGCGAAATTTGTGCAGCGTAGCTAAGGTATGACTATAAAATTTGTGGTCATTACTTTACGTTTTCATAATTTCAGTTTTAAATAATTTTAATTTAATTTAAATGTAGAAAAGTTATGCTTTTTAATATGCTACCCGTCCACCATCGCATTCCAAGAGTCATAGAAATAGACAAAGTAAAGGGCTATGCTAACACTATATAACTGCTTACTATTTCAAGTAATATGTCAATATTTGTTATAACTCATATATTACAACAACAACAAGTATGATTTCTATGAGCCATGTCAACTCAATGCATAGCTTATCAAAGTAAGTACATACGCAAACATTGAAAAGTGAAAATATAAAGCAAATAAACTCATTTGAGAATTTTCTAGAAATTCAACGGATATTCAGTCAAACACTAGGAGAGGTAAGAAAAAAACGAGAAAGGAAAAATAATTTGGTTTGCCTGCAAACTATCTCAAAAATGTTATTAAAATGTTATTTAAACAGAATGAAAAAAAGAGAAAAAATCACTTATAAGGCAAACGAGATAAAATATAATAAAAGCCTTATAGTCGGCCACGGCACACCAGTAAATACCGTACATCTCGTTTTTCACTTTCAATATGATCGCTAAATGGATCAAATTATTGCAGCGTACCAAATGCTATAAAAATATGCCAAAAGTAACAATCTGCAGTTTGAACACAAAATGACATGAGCAGACGCAAACACAGTGATAATAAAAGGTAGGTCTCAAGTCCATACATACAAACTTAATATAGTTTGTAACGCAAACGATGCAAGGCATAAGCGTGAACCGGCTAGGTACATAACTTTCATTTAAAGGCACGATACGTTATTTAAATGAACACAAATTTCATTAAATTGTAGCTTTAAGGATTCATCTAATTAAAGGGTAATTACGCCAACTTAGGATTTAAAAAAAAGCTCTCCAAGCATTTGCTTTATAAAGCACACAATTCAGCTACAAACAAATATGTGAATGGAGAAGTCTATTAACCCTTTCGCAGGGAGTATTCAGGATATGTTGTTATTTTCGAAGTCAAATAATTCTTTTCAAGATCTTTGGTTGCAATTTTAGCGCTAGTATTAAAGGCTCAAAGTAGGTTAACACCTACCCAGTAGTTTTTTTATTACACATTAGTATTATTAAAGAATTATTCGAGCTTTTTTTTTTTTCTTTTGACATTAAAAAGCCGTAAACGAGGGAAAGAAAAACGAAAATAATTTGCTTATCTTAAACTAAGAAAAGGGAAAATTAAAAACATACCATTAAATATTTTTATTGCTACAAAGAAAAGAGAGGAGAAAAACTTCAAACGGCTAGCAAAAGTAAACAAATAAACTAAACCAACAAATAATTGCATACTTTTAGGCAGCCCATTTTTTAAATTGCAAGAAAATTTGGGTTAGATGTAAAGTTCTTCTGCACAGCAAAAAGTAATATAAATAGAAACATGAAAAGAGCGAGGAAGACAGCTTTGTTCATCCTAAAGCGAATCCTGAACGCCTATCACCTAAGATTAAAATTGATTTTTATCGTAGGAATCAAGTTGTTGGAAAAAGTAATTTTCATTTTCCCATTCGAGGATTCCGCTACATAATGATAGTTGTTGCGAGTATCAGATGCGCTCTATAAACTTATATTAGAAGCATATATGGATGGACGTGGAAACGAGGTGAGAATCTTACACCGACCGTATATGTCAATAAATATAAGGAAATTTTGTAGGGATTAGTTAAAAAATTTCGTTAGACCGGAGAGTTAATTCAAGCAGTGAATGCTTTGGCTGTTCTTCGGCACAGAAAATCATAGCAGTTCGTAACAATGTTGCTGACAGTTCGACACACTATATTTCACTTTTAGAATTTTTCATTAGAAATTCGTGTTTTCTATCAAAGTTACTTCTTGCGTAAATATTATGACATCTTTCGATATAAGTTAAAAGTTGCAAATTCAAGGTACTACAGATGTGTGGTTGCAATCGCAATACATTCATTTAATGAATAACTTATTGCTTTGGAAGTATCTATACAAACGAAAGGGCAACTCTTGATGTTTTCGATCTGAGAATACAAAATAGCGGTCATTGGACAGAACGTGTTCGAAGTGTTGACAAATGTTATAAAGAGCTTGGGTTTTTTAAAGTGATATAAAAGATACTTGACTGCAACTCAGATGTGTGGAAGCAAGCCATTAGATCTTCTCGTGGACCGGCAGAGTAAAGCGAAAGGATCAGACGGTCACGGGCGAGGAGAGAGTGCCCAAAATTCTCGATGCTCGTCGACATTGGTATAATGTGTGCTGGACTGTGCTTATGTACAAGAGATAAAAGGTATCCATTTGGTCCCTCTCATATCGCTCCATAAGTATTATAAGTATTATTCTAATCAAGAAGCTTACAGCTATTAATGTAATCAATGTATCTTATATTGATAGGTATTTTGTTTGTAACAAACGAAAATACAAGTCAAGTTTACCATCGGGCTTCGATGCTTGGCAGAAATATAAGATACACTCTGTTCTAAGGGTGAAAGTATAAAACTACCGCTTTTTAAAGCAGTGCTGCTGTGTTAACGTTTACGTTTTGTAATTATTATACGCCATAGAAATAAAAGGGTTTTTCTACACGACATCTTTATTTTTACACCAGTAGACTAAACACCCACTTAAATGTGGCCGTTTTACTTTTTTCATATTGTTTTTTTTTTTGTTTGTATTGTAACCTTTTATCATAAATTTTAACTTTAAACACAAAGTGTCAAGCATACTTAACCTTCTTTATGCGACATGTTAACAATGCTCTTCTTATTTAGTTACAGTCTTGCATTACAAGCTCTGCATATGTGTTAGTAATAGTAGTAATAGTGGTAGTAGTAGTAGTAGTAGTAGCGATAGTAGTGGTAGTGGTAGTGTTGGCGGTGGGATGCAAAACTATACGAGATGTAAAACAAAAGCACATTTAAAGACGTATTCATAATGATAAAGAAATTGCAAAAAAGGTACTTGACATTTTTTCTTCTGCTATTTATCTTCTTTTTTTACTATTATTATTTTTTTTTTTTTTTCTCTCTCTACAATAGCCTTTTTCCTCTTAACTTTTGTTTTCTATGTATCGTCTTCCATGACTGGCTTTTCATTCGTTTTTTTTTTTTATTTTTTTTTTCTTTTCTGATTCTCTTTAATTTAGGTTTAACTGTATAATTTATTGTGGCTGTGCAGTTTGGAAATGGTTAAACGAGAGCATCGAGTAGAATATTGTGCATTCGAATGCAGAAGCATGA